GTATAACACTATGCATGATGCTTTCAAGTGTTAGCGTGTCGAAATAATTTGATTTCTCAGCAGCTGAAATCATGCTCAGATGATTATTGCTTCACAGGAAACTCTTAAGTATTTGGACAATCCTCCCGATGGTGGTAATTTATACAGAAAACAGCCTCTTTTGTCGTGGGATTGGAACAAGCAAAGAGGATAATTTCCTTATCAAACACACTATAAGTCATTTGAAACAGAAAGTTTTGTACTTAAGTTAACCGTTCCTCAGAGTAAAGCTGGGAACTGAAGAGTTACTAGTGCCCTGTGGGTGTTCGTTGAAGTCGGTAGGAGCCCAACCGGCAGCTCCGTGACACGAATTCAATCAACACACCATTTTGTTTCCTTCTTTCAGACAGTTTTGGTTAGACTGCTCACAACTGTTATTCTACAGAACAGTGTTCGTACACATACATCTACGACAATCTAAACACTTTACAGGCATTTTCAAACACAAGCTAACTGTCAAATATATGCTCCTTTTAATTAATATAAGGTGTTTTATATGTATTTGTCAGTTAAAAAAGTCTTATATGTAGTTTAATCTGTATTTTTGTTAAACAGAACTCAAATCAAGAAGTTCCCCACTTCTAGCTGCTTTATCTGCATGGTCTAAACACAGCAAGCTTGCTTCGTACGCACAAGCGTCATAAAGCTGTAAAAAGCTGACGCCACGAGGGCCGTTTTTTGCCAGCTGCCTTATTGAAATGAACTTGAGAGGAAAGTATTGATCCCGTTTCTGCATGGCAATGACACAACCGGGCTTCTTTAGAGGTGACTCCATCCAGACCCTCTTGTGTTATGCAGGTGACGTAGACAAGTCGCAGAGGATTCGACTGGTGTCAAGGAGCTATTTAAAATTAGAGCATGGCGGCACAATTGATTTTGTTTATATTTAATGTGATTAAACACAGTGGAGAACATTTGCTGTTGCTGGAATCCCAATCACGGCTTTCACTGACGCACAGATGCATCGCAGGTTAGAGAAATGTCCTCAAGATAATATATGCCATTTGGCGATTGCATTTAACCAAAGGGTCTTACCAAGATTGAAGACATTTTAATAATGGGTTTTGCCGTGAGACCAACTGGGATAGTGTTAGTGCCTTGAGACAAAACAGCTTTAAAGTTATAAAAACTGATTTTTCTTAAAAATCATAGTATTGTCAAATATTTCAGGCACCCTTAAGTAATATAAGGACTCCTCATATTTAATATAACTATAGTACATGAACCCACAATCCAAGCGGCTGCAATGCGAGGGCAAACAGTGTTCAGGAGGAAGGGACATTTAAATATCGTCACAAAAATAAGCAAACAAGCAGAATTTTACTCAACACCTGTGGACAAACTCTTCCTGCTGCTTACTCTGTGTTATCAGATTATAACATGCCTATAATTAATGATGGACTTTGAATTGCCTGCATGGATATTTAATGAAGCATTGTCACAGAAAAAACTATACCAGAGATTCCACAATTATTTCCTCCTCGTGTGAGTCCAGCTCTCTGAATCAAGATATCTGAGTGCTGCTACGAGTCCCTGATTAACACCACTGCTCGTGTAGTTTTGTTTTAACTGTCCCCAGTTAAATGAGAAATTAAGAGGCAAGAGATAGAGGCTAATAGCATTTATTAACCCAGCGTGAAGCGGGCAGCGGGGCGACGCTGCTCCTCCCCAGCTCTGTGTAGTCCTGGTGGCTCGGGGAGCGTTGCCCAGAGAGGGGAGTGGAACATAATAAAAAGCAACCATTGCACCCAGCTGATTAATGCAGCCCTGTGGCTATAGTAATTATCCCTCTCCACACTCCTCCAGCACACGAGCCAAACAAGTGTGTGGCAGCGACAGGGACATGTGCAAATGATGGATCTGTGGGATTCAGATTCTGTGTTCGTTGGATAAAGACACATATTTGTTTGTTCGGTCGAATCTGGAGGATTTAAGAGAGAGTTTAAGCTTTTACACCTTTTTTAGAAGTTTAATCTCTACAGTATTTTGGCCCGGACTTCAATATCTGTGAAGAGTATGTTTGCTTTTTTAGTGAGGGCTCAAACATGTATTAGTAAATGAAAATATCATTTGTTTCTGTTTAAGTTAGAACACTTGTTCCCAATATGTTCATAAACAAACATAAAACATGAACAGCATATTAAAAACCGTATGAATGAACCAAAGAAAATAAGGTACATAAATATAGCAAAACAGATTCATAGGTACAATTTCCTAAATAATAAAACCTCTTGTTTTTGGTCAGATGTATGCTATATTGTTCTATAAGTACAATTCTTCCAAAAAACATGCATCACAGAAACATTAACAGACTCTTAATACATATTAATATATATATTTTACCATGTTTCTACAATATATATTATTTCCAATGAAACTGTGCACCTCATTTACTCAAATAGTGAATACAGAAATACATATAACTGTCCAGAGCTAGTTTCTGGGCTTTCAGATTTAGACATAATTAATATTTCGAAACATATCTGTTAATCTTTTTATTTTTCTCATTCTTTTGAGCAGAAAACGTATAGTTTTAAAACCAACAATTAATTATAGTACAATTATTCTAAATAAAACAACACTGACTAAGTACAGTTTAAAGAATATGACATCTGGGGGTAGATATTTCCCATTTTATTGATTTGTTTATTAGAATTTCTTATTTTTTTGACTATCAGTAATTTTATTAAAGCATTGTGAGGTCATGTGATCACTTACTTAAAACTAATTTTCTTTATTTGTTCTGTTGTAGTGTAGATGACACACACCTTTTGTCATGAGATTATCCACAGTTAGGACGGGGTACACGGCGCTTCCTACTGAGCGCTCGGCTGCACATACAGTGTCTGTTCGGAGAGGTCAGGAGGTCAAACATAAAAGACTAGTTTGCTCATGAATCAGGAATTTAATTACATGCTGCCAGTGTGACAGAGATATTGTCCCTCAACTCACCACAATATGTAATTACTATTTATTGACAGGTAATGATTGGTTCTTCTTCACTTTTTAAAAACAAGCTGCAGATCGCACCCAGACGGTTACATCTCAGCGTCTCTGATCTGCTTCTAGGATTGTTTTGTTGAGATTGAATGTGTTTTGTTCAGAAATGCACACATTTTCAATTGTTCCAGCCTAATATGAATTTAATAATTTAGCCATATTTCAGCATTACGAGGCACTGGAGGTGAGGAATAAATCACTGTTAATGAAAACCGGCAAATAAGCGCTACACTTAGATAGATAAACCTCTTCCTCAAAATGCACATTATTTTCGATCCCAGACTGGCTCTGATCTGCTTAAAGAGACACACTCTTGGTCTCTGGAAGAAGCGGAAAATCTGTTTTGCTTAAATACAGACCTAATGATTGGATTACTGTTTCTTCGTTTGGCGATGGCGTGATAGTGGGATTACAGACTGAGCGCTCAATAGATTACCTGTCAGATGCCATGAAGCCCGGTGTCCCCTCGCTGTGTAAGCTGGCTGAGAGGGAGGGAGGCAGATGAGCCTTGGACTGACAATATGGCCCACCTCAGAGAACTGGCAACACAAGAGTGGAGCTGCAAAAAGACATGCAGGGAATGTTTTAATTAATAGATTAAAAAAGCACAATATTCCTTCGATAGAATGTGCATGAATAACCAAATACGCAGTTTAGCGTTATATAAAAATGTCATATCGCTGATATATTTCCACATGAACTCTTATTTAAATCTGTGTATCGACATTTCCTCATTTATTGTTTTTATTAAATCAACTTCCTCAGTATTCAAACCTTAATGTGAATTCATACATGTCAACTAAACATTAGTGTCTTTCCCTTTCCATCCTCCCTCTCGGCCTCATTAAAAACATAAACATATCTCCTCTATTGATTATGTCTGGATGTCTTAATCGGATCAGTGGGGAAATCCAGGTTTTCCTCCGTAGGAAAGTACATTAAATGCCAAAATATTGATACATAATGTAATTGAGAATGCACAACTCCTTTTATCAAAGCAATCAGCCTTTGCTCCTGTGACTTTGATATGGACTGACATGAAAAGAAAAACGTTCAAAATTATAATTCCTTTTTATTTAAAAGACTGTTGGGAAACAGAGTCTGTCCCGGGGCTTCTGGCGACACAGCAACGCTGTGATCAATAAGAGCGTGTGATGGGTTTTGTATCGATCAGGAAAATGTGGGTTGATGAAGTGGGTTGGAGGGGAAGAAGGGGGAGGGGGCTTTGGGTTTCCTCTGATGGTTGCCACATTACACAGACGTGGTAAAGATCCACTCAAAGTTGTCTGTCGTCGTCATCGTTATTATCATTCCTGCCGAGGTCATTATCACTCTCGGTTTCTTACATCCTGCCTCTTTCAGGAGTGGCAGACCCCCTCTCACCACAGTGTGTGATTGGTGAAATGATGTGGGAAGCAGCTGCCATTACTTCAAAGGGGGGGCCAGGCTGTGGAGAGCCAGATCCACGGTGGAGAGGATGAAAGGGTAAAGGGAACAGTTTAGCTCCGTAAGCTGGCACTGAGCCTTTCTAAAGCACAGTAAACAGACCTGTTCAAACCTTCTTCAGTGAACGTGCTGCTACTTCTGCTGCTTGTCAATTACTGCTGTCCACTTCACTTTACTTCAGAAGCACCAACATCAAAGCACAGCTCATACAAACCTCTCTGTATCTATATATATTCACATCCACTGTTTATCTATATCTATCAGGGGGGGCTCTGCTCGTGTTTTGCAGCGCTCCCTTGTGAATGACTGGACACCTACTGGCCGCTCTTTAGCCCCTCCCGTCTTTAGCCCCTCCCGTCTCAGTAATCTCTCCTCCTCATTGGATGCTCTCAGGACAGCCCTCCCAAAACAGACCAATGGCAGCTGCTCCATATGCTGTGACCACTCCCCCCTGCTCTTAAAGAGCCCCCATGACTTCAATGGAGACTCAATCCCCTCACTGACTTGCTCAGCCTGAGTCGCTCTCTCCACTGCTGCTCTCCATCCATCTGTGTCTGCCTTTTACTCTCTCTTTCTCTCTCCATCACTCCCCTGATCTTCCTTCTTTCTTCTCTTCTCTACACTTATTTCCTCTCTTCCTCTCTTCATCTCTTCCTCAGTGTTTTCCTCCTCTCTATAACCCCACTACTCTTCCTCTCTACTCACGTCCTCCTGAGTGCAGCACCTGTGCAGACTGGAGTTTGTCGGGCCGAAGCAGAAGGCTTTTTTTTTATTTGTGTGAGTCGAAGAGGGGAGGGAGGGGAGACAACACCCAGGAACACCTGACCAACATTTCATCAAGATATGTGGAGACTTAGGAACTGATCTCCTCCTCCAGCTTTTCTTTAGGTGTGTGTTTATCTGTTTTTTAATTGCAACACCTGGAATGCTTAACCTGGACTGATGGATGTTTCCGAACTGTGCATCCCTGACGCTCTCTGCTACCACAACCAGTAGGTGCATCTTTTTATCCCACTTCCTATCCCCTGTTCCATCTCTATTGTTGTTTCCATTTCACAGGACATAATTGAATTCACTTCTTTCTCTCTATTTGTATCAAAAAGGAGAGAAAGATATAATGGGTTGAAATCATTAGTGAAACTGATAAAGTAAACTATTTAAAAACCAGAGTTCTGTATTATCTCAGCGCCTCATGTACGGGACAGCAGAGCTCAGAGTCAGTGAGGCTGCGGTAGTGAAGCCCGCGGGGTGTCCGGCTCGGACCCCTGCCCTACAGCTGTCCAGCTCTGCATCAGGATCCAGGGTTTAACCTCAGCTGCAGGGGAGAGCCAGAGGCTGATTAATGCGGGCGATATCCTCTGGAAGCAGCCGGTGTGCCAGGGAAAGAAAACTGTGACTGTACTGTCGCCCAGTCTGAGAGAGAGTGTGTGTTCCTGAGAGACAGATAAGAGTGTATCTATTGAGGCAAAAAGACAGTGTGGATCACTTTTCTGTTTGTGATTTACTTAATTTTACCATTTATTATTAATTCATAAGAGGAATTTCCTTTTATGTAAATACATTGTATCTAAATATCAGTTCTCAGTTGAACTCAAAGCTCAAATGGAGCCCCAGCTCTCTGTCGTTGCTGAACTCTTCATGCCTGGAAAGACGCTCTTCTATCGAGCAAATCTGACCTGATGGTGTGACCCTTTACTCGGATCCTCTTAATGTTAAGCTGTAGATGGGATTGGAGAGGTTTAACCTGCTTAGCACTTTGTACAGGACTGTGATTAGGATTATTTCAAACTGCTCACAAGACTTTCTACGAATGAAAAAATAGAAGAGAATTCTGTAGTGTTAAACAAACACCTTTAAAAGTGAAATAATATCAGCCTGTAATTGTTGAACAGTATAAATTATTTTTAAAAGTTTTGCATTCAAATGTAAGTCATTTTGCACACGAAATGGAAAGTAATAAAGTGTAGGATTGACAATTCAAACTCTTCAACAGTGAAGATGTTTTGCAGTATACAAAATGTAAAGTGCATTATAGGAAGAACATAAGTTTAATTTATGAATACAATCAAATTAATTGCACTATTTCTCTGTGGACATACAGAGTGTAATGTTTAACCCCAAATAAGTTTGTCAGGTGTTTTGTTATCTCAACTAGTAACAGACGTAGGTTTAATTTATTTTAATGTGTTTAAATATATATTAGTTTTGTTTTTAAAGCCTTTGACATTCACTTTTGTAATTCCTTTGCATATTGCAGTAGCGTTGGGAAAAGAAACACTCCACCTGAGCTTTTCTTTTTTTCTAAATCATCACTTTTCAGAATCTGTAAATTGCATTTAGTTCACAGCCATTCAAAAAACACATGAAAACATTTTAGACTGAAATTTAAATTGTAAAAAAGACAAATGAAATATAACGCTTAAAGTGACCCTGGGACAGGTGTGTGTGTGTGTGTGTGTGTGTGTGTGTGTGTGTGTGTGTGTGTGTGTGTGTGTGTGTGTGTGTGTGTGTGTGTGTGTGTGTGTGTGTGTGTGTGTGTGTGTGTGTGTGTGTGTGTGTGTGTGTGTGTGTGTGTGTGTGAGTGCTGCTGTGTTTGTAGGAATGTACGTCTCTGTGCATCTACACGTATGCATTTTGTCTGAACATGTGAATATTTTAAAGCTTTCAGATTTCCTCCTCTGAAAACTGCAGGATCGTTTGTTCACAATTTATTAATCAGTCACGAATACTGACATTCTACAAACTCTGCTCTCTATGAAAACTGAATTTCTCCTGCAACTAATGCATTTTCTAGATATTCTAAAAGTTAGATTACTTCTATGTTGCCATGTTGGTTAGATTATTTTGAAGAGTAAAACATATTAAAGCATTTAAATAAAAGAGCATTTCTATAAACTGAAGGAATCATCCCTATTCAAGTAGCAGACTCAATAAAGTTCAATATGTGATATAAAGTACAGATTCTAAACATGTCTCTACCTAAGTATTGATAACCTTACTGTCCAACTTTCAAACTTATTGTCGCTCAATTATTTGCAGTAAATCTGCGTTTGGTGTGACATAAAGCTGTGCTTAGTAAGGTCTGTCTTCGGGCAATGCTATTAATAATTTGGCCTGACGACCGAGCTCCTGGCCAGAGGTGACAGGTCCAACGTCTGTTGAGTCTAACTCTCACGACACGTCTCTGCAAACAGGCTCTAACTAACTAACCAACTAACTGATCAGGCATCTCACATTAATATTTAATAAGCGTAAATATAAGCGGCCATACATCTGTATTAATAGTTGTCACCTTTTTCAAGGATTACATTATAATAAAAAATGCAAAAAAATATTTCACAAACTAAATATATTGTTAAGAAGACCATATTGTTATTTCTTGAAAAATAATTGCAAATGTGTATGTAACTAAAATCTAAATAACATTTAGCTTCACAGTCAATTACTAAGGTCCACACAACTGAATAAAATACTCTTAAAATCCCACTCATTATTCCCATCTACACTTTTTCAGGCAGATGACATGATTTGGTGAGAGAAAACATTATTCATTTGATATAATAAATAGCTGTTTTAATGGCACATATGCCTATTCATAAACACATGATATAATATTTAATATGAAACGCATTATTTTACTATTATTTAACACATTTCTGATTGTAAAAGGTAAACCTCTGTGATTAGCTGTGGTTTGAGTAGGATTAACCGTGGCATTGTTCACACTTAAAGTGTTTCTGTTCAGTTTGCTCTAATAAATCAAATCCATTTCTCCCTCTCGTTCCACCTGCTGTCCGCATAGTTGCCCTTCAGAAGCAAACCAACAGGAATGCATAAGCACAAGCGGTCATATGTATGCACACACACACACACACACACACACACACACACACACACACACACACACACACACACACACACACACACACACACACCCACACAATCATAGCGACACACACACATACGAATGAGACCAAAGAATCACACACTGACCTGGGATCTAATTTTAGCGGTGCCATATTGAAAACACCTGACTGTGTCTGTTAAGAGGAACACATCTTATCCTGCGTTGCATCTGGATTTATTACACTAGTTATGCACATGGTCATGTTGCGTTTATAATTTAACGGTTGCATCAATCAGTGTCATTAATATCAACAACAAAAAAAGATTAAAAGTCCATAGACCAATGATTTGTCTTTTCAAAACATGACAACACAATTTCTTCTTCATAAAGAAGAGATAACATGTTCAATATTATGATATGTAATATTTAACAGACTTCTTTATGTATCTATGCGTCATATTAAACATTAAAAAAAGAACATAAATAAAAGAGAAATGTTTGTCCTTATTAAATTAAGGCAGAATATTAGATCCTTAGCAGTTTAAGTACATTTTCTGAATATGATTTCGGACATGTAGTGTACTATGTCTTATTGTGTTACGCCAAGGTTGAGAGTTTTAACTGGGAAATTGTATTAAAAGCATTTAAGTATACATCAGAAATAGTCAACAACAACAAAATATGAATTGATACTTATGTAACTTGTGAGGGCCAGTGTATTACTTGATGCTTCATTGAGTGGACTCTTTTGGCTGTTCCCTGCACTTTTTCTGCAACACATGGAAACAGCCGTCACTGGACTTTGAGTAAGACGTCCAAGGTTGTTTTTCAGTACCAACATTAAAACCTCTCTTTGGCTTTTACTGGCGAATGGAGGGAGCAGGTGGGGCTGTGTTGTGTGTGAGTAAAAATGCTCCAAATATTCTTTACCACGATCTTTGAGTTTCCATGAAGAAGTCCAGGAGAAATGACCAGAGATAAAAACAATACAAAAGTGTTTTAGCCGGGCGTGTGTATTAATGGCTGCTGCATACAAGCCCAGCTCTGTGTGACTGCATGACAGGAGAAATAACTTCATTACATGTCATGACCCCCCTCTTGATATAGATATATCCTTTAGGCAGCCTGTCAAGGACTCTGAATACATCAGGATGTAGATGGCCCTTTTTTTTGCAGCCGCTATTCAATCAAAACATGAAAGTGGCTCTTGTGTCCTCAGGCTAAAGGCAAGCAGCAGCAGAGAGGACTTCTTAGAGTGAGTTTGTTTTATTGATGAAATGAAATTAACACACACACACACCCAGAAGAAGAAGCAGTGCGTCTAATCATGGAGTGTGGGTCAGCCGGCATGTTTAATTTAATGGGCCTCATTGTAGCTTCACGAGGTCTCACATTGTGAACTTAATTCCTCTTCACCACGTTAATTTGCATTGTGTCAATTGACCGGAGCGCTTACTGTATCAGCTTGAGTCTCACTTGAAATTCAGCCCGTGCTCTAATACCATTAGGCAAATGCAAAGTTGTGTCATTTACACATTTGGAAAAAAAAAGAGGGGGAGAGAGAGAGAGAGAGAGAGAGAAAAGCCAATTTGCGCCGGACAAGACTCGCTTGTGATTATCAGTGGATGTTATTACTGTGGAGAAGCAGACGTTTGAAGGTTATGTTTCTGGGCAGTAATTGAAATGCAAAATAACATTAGGATCGATGGCCATCTCTGTTTATTTATGAAATCAATATCGTAACTGTCCCTCATGAGTCCCCCTCTGATTCTCAATGACGGCTTAAGTCTCTGCTCGTTTATTCTTTCTCCCCCACAACCTCCTTCTTCTGTCTCTTTTTAAAAGGCAGTTAGGGGTGTGTTTGACTTTGCAGGGAGAGCAATTTCCTGGAGGTGGTGGACGTGTATGTAGATGGGGGTTGATACTCCAGGTAAGGAGACATCATCCATGTGGGAAATCTATGCAATCTCTCTTCGTGGCAGTGACATTGAAGAGGCCATATGCTGAAAGTTCTGTGTGTGTGTGTGTGTGTGTGTGTGTGTGTGTGTGTGTGTGTGTGTGTGTGTGTGTGTGTGTGTGTGTGTGTGTGTGTGTGTGTGTGTGTGTGTGTGTGTGTGTGTGTGTGTGTGTGTCACAGAGAGAGAGAAACAAAGCATATCTGCCATGCAGTACAAACATCGTAACTAAAGATTTTTTAGATTGAAGTAAAAATGGTCTAATACAATTTTCAAACATTTTATTAAGAGCGATGAGATTTTATTTCCAAACTCGCAACACAAATCTGTTGTAAATAAATCCACTTTCTTTTTCTCTTTCTGACAGTGGTCTTTGTCAGCCATGGTGCTTGATCAGATAGCTAAGTAAGTGCGTAAACAATTGTTACCACAAAAGATTTCGCAACAAACTCATTTTAGCATTAAATTAGAGCTTACGCTATTAGAATGTTCGTCAACAATATATTTAAGCAATGATGTCTGGCATTCACTGGTTCTCTCAATTTGTGTTATATCTTCCTAATTTTCTATAATAATAAATGTGTTATATTTGAGTTTCAGACAAAACAAGCCTTATTAAAACAAACCCATTGTCTCAGAACTTGTGACATTTTATTATTTCTGTCAAAAATAATTGTACTGTATTCAGTGATGAGTGGTATTTGAGTTACCCGCCTTGAACGCATATTAAAACATAATATACATTCAGCCTTACAAAATAATTAAGCATAAATAAACTACAATATATGCTAAAGACACAGCCGTTCACAAAGGGGCGAGATATTAAGACAAATAAAAAAAGGAGAACTTGATATGTATGGACGCAACAAATCAAACGTGCACAGCTTGCAGATTTTAATAAACATGGCTGTTGGGGGTGTAACAACTAACCCTAAATTAATGCTTTAAAAATATATCTTGACAAATGTCTTTGCTCTATAAACTGACATTATTTGCAGCGGCGCATAAATGTATTTACATTTTAGAGCGCACACATTTTTTGATGACCTTCATTTGTGCCAGCGCTATCACGCACATGTTGTTGTTACTACTTAACACTTGGGCGACACGCTACCCCATTTTCCCGCTCCCATGACCATTCATTTCCCAGACACCCCGGCTGCGGACTAACAGTGTAATCTATGTGTCAGGCAGGAAGGGGCACTCAGTTTAAAGCTGATAGAGTTTGCCCCAAACAAGGACAGCCTATCATAGAAAGATTAATGAACTAATTTCATGCATGGCTCCTTGCCTCTGTCCTTCTGCGCTTCCATGTTCGACTGTGTGTTCAGCACCGTGATTTACGCTGTATTCGCTGCTACAAGCTTAACCCCAAGCTTAACAATAATATTTCCCCTCTGTGGGAAAATACATAGTAAAATATGGAGAGTCACAGTTTTAACCCTTCACTAGTCCAGCCAAGGATAGCATGAGGTCATTGTGGAGAATTGCTCTGAATATCATTTTTCTTTGACTGCCTGTAAAATTTAATAGTGCAGAAATTCAGTAGGCTGGAAAAAATATTTCATGGTTTAAAGAAGAGGTGGATGGATTTATGTAGGGAAGAAGGGGATCTGTAATACTGCCAGCACAAAGAGGCATGCCAAAATACACACACACATTCTGATAACATTGAGATTTTAAACTGCTCTGATGGGACATTTTCACACCCACACTTTGATTCTTAAGTAAAATTATTAAAAACAACTGGGCACTGATTCGTGTTCAGACAGAGTCTCAGTCATATCAAACACTATGGACAGCTTTCTAGTTTTTACAGTCGTGTCCAGACGTTTTTACTTTCAGTGTGGTGGACAGACAGAACCTGTGTCTGGCGGCCATTGTGGGTCCGTCTGGGCCTCTAACAGCAGAGCAGAGGAGGCAGGTGACCTTCACGTCTGTCTGATGAGTCCTGCTTGTCTGCTCAGTTTGTACAAATTTTTCTGCGCGGCGGAGCAAACACTACCCCATCAGATATTAGGTGCAATGCGTGTTTGGGTGAGAGTGTGTGTGTGTGAGTTGCCAAGAGAGCGGGGCGGGTTGAGGAGAGCCAGGCTGCGCTTAGGAAACTCTGTCTTGCTTTATAATAAGAGGGAAAAAAACAAATTATGAAACTATGAAGCTATTTCTGTCTGCACGGATTGGTGGTTTGTGCCATTATTTCATTTCGACAGATTTGAAAGGACCCATTAGAAATTTCCATTAAACCTAACAAAAAAACATCTCCCCAGCGTTACTGTGTGCTAAGTGGGGAATGAACTACTTTTTACATATGCCACAATGTACTATTCCATAGGGAATCCCCCTATCGGGCTGCGATGATGTATTAACTGTTACCATGCCGCGCTCTCCAATTCCCTCAGATGGGAGAACATATACCTTCCAATTGACTATAGGTGCATGCTGATTGCTTACAAGATTTAACGGTAGCCCTGTGAATCTTTTATAAACCGCAATAGCCTCAGAATGAAGACTAACATAATATTGCATCGCTCCATCTCGCACTATGTTAACAGTCCTGACTGATTAAAAATGCATAAGGAATGTCTGGGACCCGTAAGAGGAGGGTTTATTTTTTCATGCCTCATCTGGAACAGGAAGGAAGCAGAGGATCGATAGATCTGATCTGGGCCCAGGGGTGGAGGCTATCTCCTCCTCCTCCCTCCAGCCGCTACCCGCTCGCAGTTAAAAGAGAGGTTTCATGTTGTCTGGGCCTGATGACTTCATGGCTTTTTATAAACACTTGTGCAAAGAGGCAACAATTGGGAAAATGCACTCCATACAAAGACACATTTGCCGCCCTGGCAGCACAAAGGCAACAACTTCAGAGGAATCTGGTGAGCATTAGCTTCCTGTTAGTTTCAGACATTCTTAACATGGCTTTTCAATGTTTACAACTCTCAAGCATGTAGGGCTCAAGTTGTGTGAAGTCAGCACCGACTCTGACGGACAGAGCCGGCCGTTCTTAAACACATCCAGGCCTCATGTCACGCTTTGTTTAAGAGGTCGAGGCTACTGTAGTAGCAATGGTGCTTAAAGTACAAAAACATACAGAGGCTATACCGCCTTGAAGAAAAATTATAGTCTGACAAAAACAACAGTAGCCATTTCTGTTATTCATTGTGTCCTGAGCCCAGCGCGCATGTTTATAAGACAACATTTGTCAGATAGTACCTTATTTCTTACACAAGTTTACATGGAAACTAGGAGCGCAGACCTCTGCCAACGCCATGTCCTATCCTTCAATGTTATCAAAGTAAAGAATCATTTGTGTATCCGACCCGTGATTTTAGATTCTCCTCAAAAGCTTTTATTTTAAGACTCATATTAAACAAAAATCTGGCGAGTAGTTTTTCCGTAATCTTGCTGACAATCAAACCAAACTGAAAACCAAAACCCTTGTTCTGAGGTTACTAAACTATTGTCCTCTTTCAGTTCTACAAATAAAATCGGCAATGAAAAAATACACCTCAAGTTTCAGAGCAATACATGCAGCGTTGCAAAAAGCCTGCAGGATCCTTTTGTTTTTGATAATATTTGGTAATTATCAGGCAACAGTTGCTCTTTGTCTGTGATCTGTACAGAAGTATATACGTAAAATGTTCTATTAACTGTGTTTTCCCAAATGTTATAATGAAATGTGGGATCGGGGAACTCAATCCCAGGTCAGAGCCTCTCCAACCTCTCACTTAAATCCACCGTAACCCGGCACCGTCCTTTGGCAAACTAACCGGGACTATTGATTGGGTCATATATTACCCATGATCCTCCATATGCTGAGTGTAACACCTCTCTCTGTCCATTAACAGCCTTCTGAAGTTTCATTCATTCATTTACTTCTGGCAGCCGACCAATTGTGGGCATTGTTTTCAAGATGTATGGGGCATCTGTTGACATGGTCATTAGTTACCATTTTGCCTGAGAGAAATAAGCTGCTGTAGTATATCACTTGGCATTCCAACACATAAATGGTTGTGTCTGTAACACAATCTATCAAACTCAGACAGACCGGCGTGCTCCATCACAGCTGACGAATCGCTCAGTGAATGATCTGGTGATGATGGAAGAAGGCGACTTGTTAGTGGTGATAATGTACATTTACTTTAACATCTCCATATCGCTGATGTTGGTTAACTTAATTAAAACATAATGAGATCATACAGAATTTGATATTTCAAATAATGTTTGATATCATCCAATAACTGTTTGGCCAATTCCTGAATTTGCATCCCAGTTTTGACAAAATTCTCTGTTTATTTAGTTACCAAAACTGACCACAGCTATCGTCTTGTGTGTTTCATCCAGGTTGTTAAACAGAATGCCCTCTGAGGACAGACACCTATCATCCAGCTGTGGGTCTTACGTCAAAACCGAGCCATCCAGTCCTTCCTCTTCGCTCGTAGACACCGGCAGTCACCACAGTCCCAGCGGAAATTCCGACGCCAGTGGCGGCTACATAAACGGCAGACACACGCACGCCCTCGACTCTCCGCCAATGTTCAACCCAGGCATGCTGGGAGGTGGCGCCGCCTGCCTACGCCGCTACGAGGAGTGCGCCGGCGTGGTGGACGACTCGCCGATCAAGTGCGAGTACATGCTCAATACCATCCCCAAGAGGCTGTGCCTGGTGTGTGGTGACATTGGCTCGGGGTACCACTACGGGGTGGCCTCCTGTGAGGCCTGCAAAGCCTTCTTCAAAAGGACGATACAAGGTATTTCCCACTTCTTCTTCTTCTTCTACTGGCTGACCTGGGCTCTTTAATGTCTGTACGCTCCCAGTTTAACCTTAGAATAAGCAGTTTTCTGTAATTTCCCAGGTGGTTGAATAATCTGCAAGAAAGTGTTTGCCTTTCAACCCAGGTGTACTATAACACCTGTGTGCTATTTTTCACAATAGTTCTACATATTAGCTTTATCACAACAGTTGGGATTCAGCAGAGAACATATTGACCCGATGAATCTATTGTTATGTGTTCCACATGTTCCTCTCAGTGCTGCTATCCAACCGTCTGCTCTTATGGGACTAATATGAGGTAGTGATTATGAGAGCCTGCAGCAGGCATTAGACCCAGACTGTAAATCTGCTCGGGGTTGTGATGTTTTGATGCGTTTGCATGTGAAACGTACGTCTGGCATCGACTCTGCCATGTGTGGGAGCTGATCCAGAATAATCACTTGGACAGAGATAATATTCTGCAAACTGAGAGGCAGATTTAGATTTGAGTTTTATCTGCAGGATTTGTTGTCTATTGACATCAAGCTGGACAGGAGGTTAGTGAGGCCACATCAAGAGGTCAAGTTATTCTTTTCAAACCTTTCTAAATTACTTAAGCAAAGGGAAAAAATGGTTTGCGTCCCTTTTCAATTTTATTTGTGATTTTCAACAATCTTTATAGTGAATTTCTGCCGACCCAAGGAAAGCAATGTACAGTAGCATAGCTTGTTACTTTACTCTCTGTGATAACTTTTCGTGTCACACTTGTCCTTCAGATATCTTCCTGTTTCTGCTATTACGCTAAACGACTGACTGTTAAAAAGGTCAAATCTGAAACTAAATGGTTTGTATTTTTGCGGAAAAATATAAAAATGTTGGTGATAAGACAAGATGTGTGACCAGTCGAACTGATTAGTAATCACTTAGAAAAGTGGAGGCGACAAAAACGCTTTTTATTATTTTATTATAAAGGGTTGACAAACAGACTTTTATAAAACATATTGGTAGGACAAACTCATATAAATATTTAAAAAGACAGATAAAAAACATTGTTCTGACCCTAACTCTGGCAGTTTAGCCTTAACTGGTTGAATGTGTCTGATCAGCAACACAGTGGAGGGCTGTAGATAGTGTGTGTGTGTGCCTTTGTGTCTTCTTGCAACGATCCCCCCCTCTTCTTCTTCGCGCTCTCCTTCGTGGAGGACAGGCCCATAATGAACCTAATCTGTCCGTCCTTCGTCCTGAGCCGCGGGAGTTTCAGTCAATAACAATCAGTGTTGGGTGACTGTAATTAAGAGCCAGGCATTTCATTGGGAGAAAGTCGAGGAAAGTGGGTGGGGGGTTTGGATCTGTTATTTGCCCCTAGGCCCCTCCAGCCCACACCCAAAGGGGAGGAGATGGGGGGGGGCAATTAGAAGCGCAGGCACGTGTTATCGGGGGCAATAACAGAGGAAGGGGAGAGGGGAGTGAGACGCTGCCGAGAAGTCCTCCAAATAAAAGGCAGAGGGACAAGGGACAGGGGACGTGGTCATTCACTGAAAGCAGGAGCCTCTTTAATGGAATGGTAATCAGGACGGGGGGTCCCGGCCCCGGTAAAGGAGGAGGACAAGGAGAGGTCCAGCCTGAGTGGAGATGAGTGCGTGGATAATAGCATGGCATAATAATATATCAAAATTTAGAGGGAAAATAAGAGAGGTTAAGGAAGGATATTAGAGTGGCTGAAATGTCCTTTGAGAAATAAAGGTGGACACAAGACCTGATTAACTAAGAGGGTATGCCGACAGTGAGCTTTTAGAGGTAGGCAATTTGAGACTATTTTGGATCCCTAATGCAAAGCCCCCCCCCCTCCTCTCACACACACATAATCATGAACACACACAGGTTATTTTTTGATCCATTTAGGTATAAAATGTTTCCTTTACTAATGGACACTACCTTTTTCTGTCCCATTGTGTTAAACTCTATATAGTAGATGCATGTAACACTCAGTGGACATTAAGTAAACTTCTGTATATATATATTTTTATTTGTTTGCTAAAACCAAAACAAATGCATTAGTTACACCCTAATTATCTTTAAACTAACCCTATACAGTACTTACTCTACATGGATTATCATAGTACTGTTTTGCAGTACATGACATTCACTTATTTAGTATACGAGAAATACTAATTGTCTTTTACTGAAATGTTTAGGCATACTTTTGATTGTAACTCATTTAAATGCTGTCACTCAAACCTGTTAAGAATTAGTCGTAGTACAACATTTAAAACATATCATTTAAACCACAACTTTTAGTACTAAATTGTGAAGTATTCAAATTGTTGTATTCTCACCACACAAACAGTTTACTACGGCAATAAGCATACATGCTGTATAAATGTTTATAGTGTATAATTACACACAGCACTGCACTGTCCACTCTCTATATCTATACTGTATTTTCTCTGTGTCTACGCCTCTCAGTCTAAAAGGCTTTACCCTGAACCAGCCTCTGCCAACGGGCTGGCACGCTGCCCCGGGCCCCTCACTGTGCATGTGACCCTGCTGGCACTCTTGATGCCAGGGATCCTGACAAATGTTGGCACCTTCTCCTTGACCAACCGGGGAGTGTGTGTGAGTCAGTGTGTGTGTGTGAGGGGCAGCTCTGGCAGACCTGCAGCAGATAACACCTGGTTTGCTGTTTTTAGGTACCATTAATACATCTCTGGGTTTAGGGGACATTGTTTAAACACTCAATCAAGGGATTTGGATACTTGGGAAAGAGGATTTGTCATTGGATTCTTGAGGTCACGTTCACTTTTTAGTTGGGTGCGTAATGATCCTGAAAAAAATTGTTAACCGGAACCTGGTGAGAAAAGCAGGCAGCGGTTACATGGCAGCAGGTTCAATATGTCTGCGTTTCTGCCTTTTTTTTGGGCCTGAGTGATTAAATTGCATAGGAAATATTTCCATAGTGAGACAACAAACGTCGAGACAGACTTGAATAATACATCGAGCTTTGCTACATGATATGTAGCAAAGCTAGATTGGCGAGTCTAGCATCTCTTTGCTGGAGAGCATTATGCAGAAGCTGCGTCCATCTCTTAGCCCTTGTGTTGTGGAGGGAGGGCAGCTTTCCCATCATCCTTTGGGTGAAGAGGGATGGGCTGCAAGGGGTCGTGGTGAGCGTTGCGGAGAGGACGCTCTGAATTAATGAAGCTAATTTATCTGAGAATCAAAATGGGGGTGGGACTCCGGGGCGGGGAGGTGCTTTTTACATGTCCCATCAAAATGCCACTAAACCCTCCTCTCCCTCAGGAGTGTCACATGAGGTCACCTTGGGACAGGTGTGTGTGTGTGTGTGTGTGTGTGTGTGTGTGGTGTGTGTGTGTGTGTGTGTGTGTGTGTGTGTGTGTGTGTGTGTGTGTGTGTGTGTGTGTGTGTGTGTGTGTGTGTGTGTGTGTGTGTGTGTGTGTGTGTGTGTGTGTGTGTGTGTGTGTGTGTGTGTGTGTGTGTGTGTGTGTGTGTGTGTTGTTGTGTGTGTGGTGGTGTGGTGTGTTGGTTCTTGATTTTTTTCTATGTAATCATTCTAAAAATGTATCCTTACTGCTGCTGTGTTCTGCTCACATTAAATAACTAAATGTTTTTTTGCATTTTCTTACAGGGAATATTGAGTACAGCTGTCCGGCCACCAACGAATGTGAGATCACCAAAAGGAGACGCAAGTCGTGCCAGGCCTGCCGCTTCATGAAATGTCTTAAAGTTGGCATGTTGAAAGAGGGTGAGTAAAGATATTATTACCTGGTCATTTTGTTTGTTTGTTTGTTTTCTTCACAAGAGATATGGTGCCAAAATATTTAGTTTAATAATGTGTATACAGTAATGCACTCTGCAACCTAAAATGTCAAAACATTGAAAAAATCATCAAGTTCCAGCTTTAAAAAAAGAAAGTGAATCATCTTCGCTTTTCTCTTTGTAATATCATATAATTTAAACAACATTTTTTTACAATTCACTGTGGGTATTAGGTATTTTTTACCATTTTGAGAATTGTTGAAATGAATGAATGAATAACTCAAATAATTGTAGGCCGCAGCCCTGTTGAGACTTAAGCCTTAAACACTTAATACAAAAATAATAATGACTGAAAGTAGCACCTAAAAGGCAAAGAATATTGTTTTCAAGAAGACATTTTAATAACCAATCTTTAGATTTCTATGTTTTAATAATAATTCAGCTCCTTTTATGGAACAAAAAATAACATTTGTGAAAGTGTGCTATGTATTAATTTATTGAGCTGTACTTAAATCAGGTTTTAAAATTGTTTGACTGATAGAGATCATGCAATGTTATTATTTGTTTATTGATTGTTATGAACCTGTCTGAGGACCACAGATGGAAATTAGCTATTAGCTATAATCTGGCATATTGCATCTCTTCTCTTTGCTGAGATGAATGTTTTTGTATGCATGGTCCTTCTATAAATAAATACAAAAAAAAATACAGTTAGATGCTGTGAAGGTTTCATGACCAAGCTTTATAGAAGTGTGTTTTGTGGCTTATAAAGAGTTTATAAATAAATATTTGAACCTAAAAGCTAACAATCAAAGGCATATTGGTGGGTTGATTCTGTGGATTGGAATGACAGCTTTAGGACTAAATATCAACATTTTGGTCAGACCGTTGTCCCGTCCCAGTGAATCTGAAACCCCCCACAGTCTCTCAGGGGTCTAAAATAAGAGTCAGTGATCAGATAAGAAAGATGGCCGCGGCCTCGGGGAGACACCAGTGACATCACCCACAACTCACCTCTCCTCACACCGCAGAGCCTGGCTGTGTTTAATTTCGACGGGCTGAGAAAGCTGCTGAGTTGGATGTTCTTACCGGGACTGAGAAGTGTAACAGTACTCTTGAAAAGCACAGGCTGTTCCCCAAAGACTTCCCTCTCCCCTGGGCTCTGGGTATCTCTCCGCCTCACCCTCTCTCTCCCTCTCTGTCTGTCTCCCTTCCCCTCTCTTGCCTGGCGTATTGATCCACTAAATGCTTTCCGAACATCCCAGCTCACTTCCTGCATGTGTTGTTTCTCCTCCAGAGAGAGACCTTTGGGAGTACAGAGGGAAAATCTAGCCGATAGATTTTTATTTTTTTCTCCAAGAAGAGAGGTTTTTTAGTCTGTTTGTTTTTTGCATATGTGTGTTTAGCTAGAAGGGCTATTCTACACTGATGCATAGAGTCTAGGTGTAGTTTATTTTGAGAGTAGTATAATACCTGGTGCTGAATTGAGACTTCCCGGTACACCTTTTTAGACAGAGTTTTATGGAGGTAATTCTTAAAAATGCAGACGAAAATGCGACCCCTTTTTTATTTCGGATTTGTCTTCCAACAAATATATTAAAAATAAGCTTTCACAGACGGTCAACAATTTTGTTCAAATGTATTGTTTTGCTTTGTTAGAAACACCAGAGACAGAATAGTTGGTTGTACCCACAGAATTACAAAACAAAAAAACATTGTTGATCTTCTGATAGATTATTATTAAATGATCATATGTAATCAGTTTAAATATATATGTCCATTCGCTGTGATGGATTGGTTCTGTGTTACAAGTGAATATAATGTTTTATAACCCATTTATTGCAGAAAAGGTTGTTTGTTTTTTTAAATAAAAGATTGTATGCACACTTTGTGATTATGGCAGTTTTACTATAAAGCACTAATGCCGGTGTTTAGTACAAGCAAGGGAGAATTATAATGTATTTGTTCACTTCCCACAGACTCAGACTTTGTAAATCACTGCTGTGATCCACCTAACCAGCACACAGTTAATAGTGTAATGGACTAATGATGGCATAGTGTGTGTGTTTTTATTACCTAGCATTACATCCCTCAACAACCATCATGGGACCACTTACTTAAAAGTTGTATCCCAGTTTAAACACAGATTAAAGTAGGTTAAGTTCCGGACTTTAGCCCACTGCCATCTGCAATTATAGTATAAGATAAATCCTAATATGAAATGGAGTGTTTAAAGAATGTGTTTATAGACTCATCTTAGAGACATAAGTCGTAAACGTCCTAAAATAAACCTGGGTAACACAGTCTTGTTGTGTTCTGCCACGCACCAAACACAGCTCCTGATAGAAGCCAGCAGCAGTTAACATGGTAACACCAGATTGTATGTCAGGCTTTTGGTTCACTTCCACTAATACAGCTCTGATGTAGCTGTGGTTTCTTCATCTCACAATGAAGGGTCAGCCATTGTATTGCCATAACAACGCTATTTTTACATGCGCCCACTCTTGATGTCTTCATCCCGGTACAAATATCTCACACCGAGGCTTTGACTCTCAGCCAGAATAAACAGCGTTGCTTCAGAAATAAAGCTGAAGCTATTAGCGCATGCTTAGAGGAAAAACGGTGGGGTATTGTCTGTGGCGATCCGAGCTAAGCCTATGATGTGGACTGTGTGGGTGTGTGTGTGTTGTGTGGTGTGTGTGTGTTGTGTGTGTGTGTGTGTGTGTGTGTGTGTGTGTGTGTGTGTGTGTGTGTGTGTGTGTGTGTGTGTGTGTGTGTGTGTGTGTGTGTGTGTGTGTGTGTGTGTGTGTGTGTGTGTGTGTGTGTGTGTGTGTGTGTGTGTGTGTGTGTGTGTGTGTGTGTGTGTGTGTGTGTGTGTGTGTGTGTGTGTGTGCGTGTATCTGTAGCCTCCACCGCCTGCTGGTCCTGAGACACAGCATCACAGCCCCCTCGACATGTGGCACAGTAGGTGATTCTCTGAAAGTGATGGCATTCAATTAAAGGGAAAAAGGAGATTTAATGGTGGCATAGTGCCGTAGCGTGGCCTCTTACAAACGTGGGGGGGCTTTGATCGTGGAATCAGTGGGGGACAGCGGCTTGCCCTACTTCATGTAATGAGATCACCATGTAACAAGTGGCTAAGGGCTGCTCATGGAAAAGGAATAATCACATAGTCTAATATGAATGCAGGTGTCATGTAAGAAGATATGCATTTCATTAGCACCACATATTGCCTTGTAAACGTCGTTCTATTCTAAAATACTTTTACAGCTATAGGCATACAAAAACTGATCAAAATATTTGTATTTTAGTGTAATTCCCTTGTTAATTATTATATATACTGCGCACGTTACCATCGTCCATCGACATTATATAAATGCAATAGTAGTTGCTTGTTACTGTGCGGCGGTTTCATAAGACATGCTTCGTTCTTCAGAAGATGTTGAGAGAACTTATGAGATCAGTCGTTCTAAAAGTGTCTTAATATTTCCACCAGGAGCCTCTAAGCTCCGCTCTAAGCATGCCATCCTGAATTATAAAGTGCCAGCTGCCACAGTTATAGGCCCCCCCATAAGTGGGCAGGGGTAGCCCCTCCTGCCTGCAACACCTGCCGCTCATCAGCTGACTCTCAGAGCTCCGGCCAGCCGGGTGGCGTCATGCGTGTTCGAGTAGATCCAAACCACTCGAGTTTTCGGAAGAAGTAACTCAACATATTTTAGCAAAGATTCGGGGGAAGTAAAATGAGTTTATACTTTCAAGAGATTCAAAATCCTACATATGCCAAGTAGGTTTTGAAATGCAGGGTATGTTCTTGTATTGGTGCATAATATAAACACAGAGGAAATTAAATACAAAGAAAATAAATCAAGATAACATAATGTAAAATAGAGAAACCCAATAGGAAGAGAAAGCTATAACATGTGTACAATACATATACATCAAAATAAATGCTTTATAGAAGAACATTTTAATAAAAAATTGAAGTTTTACTATAGAAATAGTGCATTATATCAGAATATATACATATATATATATATCAGAAGATAGATATTTTTTTAAATATGCAAAATCTTTCAAGTAATAAAGAGATTCTGCAAAAGTAATATATGTGTTTATTAAACTAAAATATACAGATGTGAATGTGAGGAGGGTCTAACTGTTGTATATTACATCTGTATCCTTTCTCACTCTTACATGAGTTTGGAGTAGCCAGAGATATAGGCATTCATTGTATACAGTATGTCCTCTCTGAAAGGGATATCAAAACGATTCTTGGGAAACATATTGTTAGTGACAGGCTTGTTTCCAGAGCGGGCTTTACTGCCGTGCCTCAGCAGGATGATCAGCGGCAGGCGTCTGTTCGAGGGAACCGGCCTCGCTCAGTGACCCCTTAAATGTCCAGCTGAGACTGATAAAAGGTCACAGGTCCAATGGAAAAATTCTCACGTAATTACAACTCGTGGAAGGTATGGTGTCAGTCACTACTGCCAGGATTCAGTGCCTGCAGCTAATAGCAGCGCTAATAACTACATAGCATTACTATACGGTGATAAATGAAGCAAAACTCTCTGGACTGAATGAGAACTTTTTGACGTTGTGATTTGAGTCACTTCTATTTTTGTGCTGAAGATGGAGGGTTTATTTTAGCTTACTGTAGTTTTAGTGCTGTGACAAATTCTGCATAGTATCAGGTAATCACAGCATCATGTTAGCAAATTGGTATGTCTGAAAATATGTCTTATTAAAACACAAGTGTACAAACCCTTTAGGACTACTGACTTTGTGCACATTTTTAACTATAAAAAGACACGTTAGAAGTCGACACTTGCCAGATTTGGTGTTAGCTCAGTGTTTCTGGTGGCTTCTTTGCTTGATTTTCTGACACTGCTGTAATGTGGCGGATAAATACAAGCTGCCAGACTATTTTGGCAACCTACACCGCTGTCTCGTCCTCTCTCCCGACCACAGATAGGGATCAGCAGTCTT